GGGGGGAGAGATGATGAAAATGTTACAGAATTGTATGTGGTGATATTTGCAGAATTTTGTGGCTATACTGAAAATCATTGAATTATACAATTAAACTGGTGAATTGTATGATACATTAATTATATTTCAATAAAACTTTTTAAAAAATGGGTTACTCTTACCTGCTCTTAAACTCCCCGTGGCAGTATTATACCAGAAAATAAAAATAAAATTTTGTTAAAATAACTCACAGCCATGAACTGGATTGGCTAAAGTCCCAGATGCTGTAACTTGTTTTATACAAATGAAATAACATTTTTATTTTGGTGGCAAACTGCTGGCATTTATTTTAAGGGCCCCACGCTTTATATACAAGCACAAACAAGTCCAAAATCTCTTTAAAAGCTAAATAACATTAACTTCAAAAATCTCTCCACCCACCAGCGTTTCATCTTCTCGGATCTTCTCGGCTGCGTACTCCCATACTTCAGATAGGAACTGACTCAGTGTGGGCATCGTTTGAATTCTTCTTTAATAATGTTCCCGGGGAGGTAGAGCTTCTAGCTCCCTGGTTTGTTAGCACTAATGTGCCCACCTGGGTGTGTTGTTTCCATCTGTATTGCTGTAGAGCCTTTTTTTGGAGTTATTGAAGGCGTGAGCGCTGGTCTGTTCCTAATTGGCATGCTGGTGGCCGTTGTTGCCTTATTCATCTGCAGGAGGAGAACGAGGTGAGTACAAAGATCCCTTTAGTGATTGGGCCCCGAACCTTAAGCATGCAACTGGAAAATGTCCTTTAGCCTGAACAGTAAGAAGAAAAAATAATTTAATTTCTCTCGGTTAAATCACCTTTGCTTCTCAAGAAAAACAAAAGTCAAACCCTAAAACCGGGACTCACTTTTGTCTGCCACTCTACACACCGTTGATGAATTCTGCCCTCTCCAAATGACTAGGGGGCTGTGTGAAGCTTTATTTGAGTGTGAAACACCTTTTGCACAGGAAAAAACAAAACAAAAAATAACGTAGTGTGTGGTTCCATCTCCTCATGAAGATAGAGATGTGTGCAAATTGTGTACCCAACCACTTTTCTGAAATATGCTGAAAAGTATGGTGACATCATCCTTTTATGGCTCATATCTGCTGTGCTAATTTAAGGAGAGGCTAAAAAGAACCAAAGCATGTGGTCCCAATGCCACACTCTCTCCTCTTGGGGAATTTCTTTTATTTGGCACACTGTGTTCTCTCTTGATGTCATGTCTTGCATCTAAGGTTTACTGGGGGTTTTTTAAGGAAAGTTTTATTGAGAGTGTGGGAAGTGATTGTGACCTGTAGCCAAAAACCAGAAGACAAATCTTCAGCTATTGCAGAGATCCATTTCTGAGTGGGAAAAGTCTATTTCTTTATGTTCTTCTTCTCTTTCCATCCTTCCCCTTCTCCCCCCCTCCCCCCAAAGAGACGGTGGCTGGGTGTCAATCTACATGAATACTGAAAAATCCATATATGCGCAAGCATGCACAGCCTTACCATAAATGGAAAGTGTGTTGAAGTCCTAATGTAATATGTCTCATAATTAGAATGTAAGTCCTCTCCCTTATGTTACAGCCATGGTCGAGAAAGGCCCTCTGCCCAGCTGAGCATCCGCCGGGATCGGCCATTGTCTGTCCACTTGAACCTGGGCCAGAAAGGGTGAGCACCACATCTTCCTTCACTCCTTTTGCTGAAAGATGAGTTGATTGTATTACGTGAGGTTTACTAATGAGGTCTTTCTTCTCTTGGCTTCCTTTCACAGTAACCGGAAAACTTCTTGGTAAGAGAGAAAACTCATTAATTACTATCGTATCTGCTTTTGAAATGGAGCTCTAACTGGTTATGGCATGTTTCCTTCAGTAATTTTCCTTTGGTTCTATTTTAATTCTAGCCCAATAAAAGTAAATCAATTTGAAGGGCACTTCATGAAGCTGCAGGCCGACTCCAACTACCTTCTGTCCAAGGAGTACGAGGTACGACTCAGATGCAGTTATGTTTTGGCACCTAGTCCTCCGCAGAAGTTTCCTCCCAAGCTTTCCCGTGGAATCACAGGCTGAGTGGGCTCAGGAGTTAGGAGGACACGTAGGATCTCAGCTGAGTGGTCTTTTATGCCCGAGTCTCTTCCCCGCACAACATACCACCTAATCTCACAGGCCATTTCACCTCCAGATTTGCGCAGCAAATCCTGAATCCGATGATATGAAAGAATGAACAAATTGCAAATGCAAACCTAAGGCTCTCAGTTACCCTGGCCATTTGCTTGACTGGGAAATAATGGGCTTTGGTGAAAAGTGCCCAGATTTGGGGTTCTGTTCCCAGCTTTGCCACCTATGTGACCTGGGGCAAGTTAGTTATCCTATCAGAGCCTTCTCTGTAAAATGGAGATGGGAACGCCTCCTGTGGAACTGCTGTGGGGACCAGAGCTAATGCCTACAGAATAGCAGGCATTCCATGAATAGTAGCTAGTGTACGTATTCTCATATTGTAATCCACCTCAGGGATTGTATGATTTCTCTTCTTCTATTTCATATTCTCTACTTGCAAATTTATTTTTGACCTCATAGGACTTAAAAGACGTGGGTCGAAATCAACCATGTGATATTGCACTCTTGCCGGAGAACAGAGGGAAAAATCGATACAACAATATATTGCCCTGTGAGTTTCGGGTTGAAGTTTGTAATACTGTCTTCCTCTAGCCATTCCTCCTTTTTTTCCAGGAATAAAATGGGCTAATGAACTACGGTATGGGTGGATTTGGGAGACCTGAGGCTCTGAATGCCTTAAAAAAGGGATGGCGTGGGTGTTATTGCCCCACCCTCCACATGGGTAACAACGAGCTTCAGTTCTGGTCCCAAGAGGCCTCTTCTGCTGTTGACATTTCACCTTGGAGGCCTCCGAGCAGTAACAGGGCCAACAGCAAAGGCCAACTTAAGTTTATCTAACGAAGTCTCCAGTTAGCAACTGTTATTAAATAATTATTACATATTTGAATCCTTATCCTATTAGCTCAGTGGTTCTCAACCTTCTGGCCCTTTAAATACAGTTCCTCGTGTTGTGACCCAACCATAAAATTATTTTCGTTGCTACTTCATAACTGTAATGTTGCTACTGTTATGAATCGTAATGTAAATATCTGATATGCAGGATGATCTTAGGCGACCCCTGTGAAAGGGTCGTTCGACCGCCAAAGGGGTCGCGACCCACAGGTTGAGAACCGCTGTATTAGCTGAAGCAACAGTTTTTCTGCATTGTATTCATTCCAGCAGTGTGAGGGAGCCGGCCACTCCTTGGGGGAATGTCGTAGTGTTACAAAGGAAAGCTCAGAGGGGACTGCAGAAGGCATTTGGTCGTTTGTGTGTTTATGAACCACCTATGCAACCTGGGGCAAGTTATCCTGTCTGAGCCTCGTCTGCAAAGCGGAAATGAGGAGTCTTCCTTGTGGGGCCCTTGTGGGATCCGCATTCCATAAACTGTAGAAAAATAAGACTCAGTGGCAAATCTGTCTCAATAAACTTCCTTCCAGATGATGCCTCTCGAGTGAAGCTGTCCAATGTCGATGACGACCCATGCTCCGACTACATCAATGCCAGCTACATCCCTGTGAGTGCACCACTAGGCTGTCGTGCCCAATAAAGCTTTGATGGTTGACCACATGGGAGATACCTCTGCTCCTAGATGCTATCACTGCTCTCAGGTTTTAGAAGGCAAGACTGTGTCTGATTGCCATAAAACACAGGGTGTCCATTTAATCACTGCGAAGGCCCAGTTATGCAATGGCTATAGTCACGAGACATTTTAATGAGCCCAGGGTGCATTCTCGTAGGTCGTTTTCTCGCTGCAGCCCTTGGCCAAGACTAGAGCTCCCGAAAGACGTTAGACTTCCCCTGCTAAGGCTGCCTAGGTAGGGAAGCTGATTCGAAGTTACTTGCATTGTTGAAAACCACAGACACAGCTCCAAGGTTATGTCAAACCCTTGGGCTCAGATTCTGGCTGTCAACTTGCTAACTTCCTGTAGCACCTACAGTGGAAGAAGCTTTGAGATCAGACAGATCCAGGTTTCAGTCCCATCTCTGCCCTTTACTGGACTCTGTAACATTGGACAAGTTATGTCACCTCCATTTTCTTTTCTAAACAATGAGGATAAATAATGTGGATCTCAAATAATTATTCTTTCACTCAGTGAGCACTACTTGCTAAGTGCTGGCTATACGTCAAATACTGAGCGATGCACAGGAATCTGGTAAGATAGAATCTGACCCTCAAAGAACTCCCAGGAGAGTTGGGGCATCAGGACATGACCAGGCCATGCCCTGAGGAACACACCTCCATTGTTATTGTTAAAATGCAGATCTGGCCCTGACCAGTATGGCTCAGTGGATAGAGCATCAGCCCGCGGACTGAAGGGTCTCAGGTTCGATCCCGGTGAAGGGCATGTACCTTGGTTGCCGGCACATCCCCAGTAGGAGGTGTGCAGGAGGCAGCTGATCGATGTTTCTCTCTCATCGATGTTTCTAACTCTCTATCCCTCTCCCTTCCTCTCTGTAAAAAATCAATAAAATGTATTTTTTTAAAAATAAATAAATAAAATAAAATGCTGATTCTGATCCAGCAGGTGGGGGCGGGACCTGGGATTCTGCATTTCTCACAAGCTGTTAGGTGAGCCCAGGCTGCTGGTCTAAGGACCACTGTCTGAGTAGCAATAGGTTTGAAGTTGCCACAGCAGGGGAACGTCACTCAGCAGACAGGAAGATAGAGGAAAGCTCAGCAGAGCAGGCAACGCGCTGAGACTTGGAGGGTAAATAAGGAATAGCCAGCTGAGGGGCAGTGTCTGGGTAGGCGAGGCGTGGGAGAGTGGCAGAGGTGACAGAATGTAGAGGCCCTGAGGAGAGGGAAGGAGAGAAAGCTTCCACGAGGTTCTGCCAGGAATTCTGTATTGCTGGGGTACAGAATGAGTGGGTGAAAATATCCTAGCTCAGAGAGTTGTGATTAAGATTAATTAAGATCTAGGAAAGTCCTGGCTCACAGCATGTTATCAGATAGGTTTTCAATAGACAGTGATTTATATTTCCTTAAGTTTCCCTTGCATGACCTCTCTTACCAACATTCCACTGTCAGTTCTCTCATTTTGCCTGATTAAAATCTGCCCCTCAGACAGACCTACACACGCGGGCGCGCGCGCACACACACACACAATGGTGGATTAAGTGTTTTCTAGATTATCACCTGAGTCCTCCCTCCATTGCCTTTTAGAATAGACCCAGCCTAATAAAAAGGAATTTGGCTCTTAACAATAGTTCAACATTCCAGCCTTTGTCCTTCCTGCTCCCAAGCCTTGACACTTGTGTTAGTATCTTTTTCTCGTCAGGGGCCTGGCCAAGACCTACATATCATTGCATCTGCAGCTCACTCTTTGTTTATGGTTCTGAAGAGGCCTATTGTTTCTGACTGTCCATATTGTAAATTCATCGCAGGGCAACAACTTCAGAAGAGAATACATCGCTACTCAGGGACCTCTTCCTGGCACGAAGGACGACTTCTGGAAAATGGCGTGGGAACAGAATGTTCACAACATTGTCATGGTGACCCAGTGTGTGGAGAAGGGCCGAGTGAGTAAACACTCTTCCTGACTTCCAGCTTTGCTTTCCGCCATCTGGAGGGAGCTCTTCCCCGCCATCCAAAGTTAACTCCTGCAAAGCTCAAGGTCGTATGAGAGAGAACACTGTTAGTGAATTACACCACCCAGTTCTGTGAGGTGAGGCCCGATTTGGATCCTGGGCCTGAACTCTCAGTCCAAGGTGTCTTCATTTGAGGACTGGGAGCACCAGAGGTGCCCTGACACAGAAGGATGAACTGGCCAGCCGTCGCTCCATCCTCCAGTGTTTGGTGAGAGGAGACGCCTTGTCAGGCTCATTGGCTCTGCCCCTACTTTCAGGAAAAAAGGAGACGTGAACTTTAGGCTGTGTCTACAGACACAAAGGAAAATAGTTAACTGGACAAATGAAGTAAACCTCTTGTAACGCACTTATACTCCTCTACTTTATATGGTTACTCGGGGGGTTGAAAGAGAGATTACCTGTAAAGTGCCCAATACCTGTAGTCAATAATATATGTTCATAATCCTCTTTCTCCTGTCTTTCTCCATGTAATTTTGAGCGTAGATAAATGTTCAGACTTTTCAAAGATCATTTGGCACATGGCACTGGGCCTAGGTTAGGACAGTGATATCAAATTGTAAACAAAACAGGGCCTGGAAGACAGAGCCTCCCTCTGCCCAGCTAGATCTTTCTTCAAAAGGAACGTTGTAAGATGGTCCTACCTGCTAGTGGAACTGAAATGCTAAGGATATTAGAGAGAAACCTCAACCATGACCCTCTGTGCCCGAAAGGTAAATGAGCCAGAGGTTGGGGTTCGCTCCTCGCGCCAGGAGTGTCTCCCCTTCCCTGGCAGCAGCAGCTGGGCTTCAGCGCTGGCCAGGAGCAGGTTAATGCAGAGCAGATGCCAAATGGCTTTAGCAGCTGATCCTGGATTCCCACTCAGGAAGACCTTTCCAGGAGGGAAAGTTCAGGTTCACGGAGGAGTCACGTTTCCGGACTCACTTTTTTTTCTGTCTGTTTTCCTCTAGGTGAAGTGTGACCATTACTGGCCAGCGGACCAGGACTCGCTGTACTACGGGGACCTCATCCTGCAGATGCTCTCAGAGTCGGTGCTGCCCGAGTGGACCATCCGGGAGTTTAGGATATGCAGTGTGAGTTGGTTTGTCTGATTTCATTTAATGACCCAGCTTGGAAAGATGAAAGGTCACCTGGGAATCGCATATCTGCTGGTTCCTCTCCTGTCCTTGCAGCCCATAGGTGTTCGTGGTTGGGCACAGCTGTCAAGCTGGAAGCTCTGCCTTATTATCCTTACCTTTCTTCTTCTTTTCCTCTCTGCTCTCACAGGAGGAACAGCTCGACACACACAGGCTCATCCGCCACTTCCACTATACGGTGTGGCCGGACCACGGAGTCCCAGAGACCACCCAGTCCCTGATCCAGTTTGTGAGGACTGTCAGGGACTACATCAACAGGACGCCCGGGGCCGGGCCCACCGTGGTGCACTGCAGGTACTCAGCCACGCGGAGCCCATGACATGACACCCGGGAGACGGGAAAAGGCAGCAGGGAGGGGATCTGGTGGGAGGAGGAGGAGTCTGGGCTCAGATGTTGTTAGCTCACTTCTCTTTCTCTCCAACCTCATTCCTTTTCACTGACTTCTCTCTCCTTTTCTGCTTTCTTCAATACCTCCTCTCTCTCACCCTCCTCTGTCTCTCACC